CTGCTGCAAAAGCTCTCTTTAAAGTGTTAAAAAGCAAAGATGTCACCTTGAAGACTAAGGTATTCGTGATCCAAGCCATGGTCTTTTCAATCGCCTCATACACATGCGAAAGTTTGACAGTGAATAAGGAAGACCAAAGAAGAATTGATGCCTTGAGTCGTGGTGTTGGTGAATAATACTGAATATACCATGGACTGCCAAAAGAACGAACAAACCTGTCTTGAAAGAAGTACAGCCAGAATGCTCCTTAGAAGCGAGGATGACTAGACTTCATCTTACATATTTTGGACATGTTATCAGGAGGGATCTGTCCCTGGAGAAGGACATCATGCTGGGTAAAGTAGAGGGTCAGCAAAAAAGAGGAAGACCCTCAACGAGATGAATTGACGCAGTGGCTGTAACAATGGACTGAAGCATAGCAACAATTGTGAGGATGGCGCAGGACTGGGCAGTGTTTTGTTCTGTTGTACATAGGATCGCTAGGAGTAGGAATTGGCTTGACGGCACCTAACAACAACAATAGAAGTTATTCTCCTCAAACGTGACTTTGCTGCAAGTTTACAGGGAGCCAGGACTGTCTGAGGACCCCTGATAGTACCTGCTGTAGTCTCAGAGAAGAAGGCCCAAGCTGCCCTGCATGATCAGGAGGGCCCTGATCTGGGAATGGACTGTCTTGAGGCTTTGAACAGCCATAGAAAGAGACTAGCCATTCAACAAACTGCTATGGAGTGGTGTTTTGTGCCAGGCACTATGGTAGGCACTGATGGACTGGGGGTGGGGAGTGGGTAGGAGTATCGCTAAGAAAGCAAGTTGCCCTTTCTCTAACAATTCACTTGACTCCATAGCTACTTTCCAGATAAAATAAGGTAGTCCCAGTGGATGGGCACCAACAGCAACTAGTTCACTGTGGATTGTCTACTCAGACTCCATATCCAGATGCTCTCCTTGTCTTGAAGCACATAACTAATAGGAGATACCAATTCTTTTAAGGTAGTAGAGGATCACTGAGTCATTGAATACAATCCTTGGTCTAAAACTGAGCGTCCACTGGGATTCTTATATTATGTACAGTATACTTACTTGCAATCTATTCCCAAGCTACATTGAGCATTCATCTAATAGGCACACCTATATTAAAGGCACTTTACGTATGCTACTTTCTTGGTCATCTAGTGCTGCTACAACAGAAAAACCACAAGTGGATGTCTTTGACAAACAGAAGTTTATTCTCTCACAGTCTAGTAGGCTAGAAGTCCGAATTGACGATGTCATCTCCAGGGGAGGCTTTCTCTCTCTGTAGGCTCTGGAGGAAGATCCTTGCTATCAATCTTCCTCTGGTCAAAGAGCTTCTCAGTGCAGGAACCTTGGGTCCAAAGGATGCGCTCTGCTCCCGGCATTGCTTTCTTGGTGATAGGAGCTCCCCATGTCTCTCTGATGGCTTCTCTCTTTTATATCTCAAAAGAGATTGGCTTAAGACACAATCTAATTTTGTAGATTGAATTCTGCCTCATTAACATCATAGAGACAGGATTTACAACACATAGGAAAATCACATCAGATGACAAAATGGTGGACAATCACACAATACTGGGAAACATGGCCTAACCGAATTGATACACGTTTTGAGGGGATACAGTTCAATCCATGATACTGCTCAATTTACTCCCTCAGTAATCTTGAAAACTGAGACTATTACCCTGTTTTTACAAATGAGGATGCTGAGCCTTAGGTGGGTTAACTTGTTAAACACACGCACAGAATGCACCTGACTCCAAAGCCCGTCAGTGTTCTTTCAAGTTCCCCTCACCTCACTCGACAGCCACACAGAATAAGGCTTAGTGTCACAGAAGTGGTTACAGTTGGTGTCAGAGAAATGCTGCCTTGAGAAAACTGAGGGTGGAGAAAACAAGATGTTACTGCAGTTTGAAATTTGTTGATTCAACTAGTATTTTTTGAACAACCATACACCCCTCTGTGCTGATCAGTGTGGAGGTCATCACGTACAAACGTGACACTCCAATACTATGACATACCTGGGGAAAAAGACAGAAATCAATACATTATTTTAGGGGCTAAAAGATGAGTTAGAGTGGCATGACCTGTAGAAGACTAGGCAGGGGAGAGAAGAGTTTATGTGAACCAGGCTAGTGGTTCTGTCCAGAAGGGGGACAGGAAGAGGGCAGAGCATCACGGAAGAACTAGAACTTGAGCTGGGCTTTGCTGTGATTTAGCTTATGAAAGAAACACCAGAAATTTGTCCTTGAATAATGTTTTCTGTGACAGATCAGTTTTTCATAATTGTTTCATTTTCCTATGAGTTCACTTAGGAACCAGAGTGCCTGCGGTAGAGAAAAAGCTGGTGTTTGCATAAGTAAAAGTACTATTTCCATAAGGTGGCTGCATTGTATCAGGAAGGCTAAGGAAAGTCCTCTGCTTCCTTATCAGTTTGGTGAAACAAAGATAACAGTGGAACAGGGTCCATCCTCTGGCAGGTTTCTGGATTGGGGGAGAAAGATATCCTGTGCTGTCTCTGCGTCTAAAAGGGGTAGGTGGGTGCTGGCGAGATCAATGGAGTGTTTGCCTGGGTCTGTTTGTCAGCCAGTGCTAGTTGGGTTGAATTGAGAAAGCGAAACCTTCTGAAGGGCTGTGAAACCTCTTCCCTTTCTTGAAACCGCTTCTTAGCAAAGAGAGGAAAGCCCCAGGCCCCAGCCCACCCATCTGCATTTGATGAGCAGGGCAAGGAAGACGCAGCAGCATCTGAGCCTGTCCAAGCCGCCCTAGGGTATCAGGCCCATGGAGAAGTTTCAGACGGTGCTGAGCCTGTATCAAAAGCATCACAACGCGATAGGCTATGGCCTGGTGACCTTTCTGACGGCGAGCGGGGAGCGCGTCTTCTCCACCGTGGTGTTCTCCTGTCCCTGCAGCGCCACCTGGAATTTGCCCTACGGCCTGGTGTCCCCGCTGGTGCCCGCGCTCGGGCTCTTCCTCCTGGGTTATGTGCTGAGCGCGCGCACCTGGCGCCTGCTTACCAGCTGCTGCGCGCCGGACGCCCGCACCGCCTGCCGTGCGGGGCTGCGCGGCGCCCTGGTGTGCACACACCTGAGTGCCGCCTCCGCGGTCGCGCCGCTTACCTGGGTGGCAGTGGCGCTTCTTGGGGGCGCCTTCTACGAGTGCGCGGCCAGCAGTGCGCCCTTCGCGCAGCGCCTGTGCTGGGGCCGCGACCCCAGCTGCGTGGCCCAACTGCCGCTGGTGCCCTGCAAACAAGCCAATATGTCCAAAGTGCAGGACCTTCTCAAGGACCTCAAGGCTGAGTCGCAGGTCAGGTGCTGGCGCGGGACGGCCAGGGTGCGCGGGGTCAGAAGAAGGGAGGGAGATGGAGAAGAGGCAAGCTTCTGCAGGGGGATCAGGGGTGATGGGATCTCACTTATACAAGACCAGAAAGATGATTTCTCCAGGCATGGTACACCCTAAGAGAACTAGGAAGGCTACTTGCTTCTAATGCGCAGACAAGCGAATATCGAAATGAAACCAATAAAAAAAAGAAAAGGCACTTATGTAGGGTGAGCACTAGTCTGTGCCAGGTACTGCTCTAGGTGCTTCACCTCCTGCATTATCTTTTTACCTCTCACAAACAGCCCCGTCTGTCGTCTGTCGGGGTATTCTTGTCTCCATTTCATAGCGAATACACTAAGTCTAGGTAAAATTGTTTGTTTCTCCAGCCAGGAGAAAGCCAAAGAATTGTTGGAACAAAAAGAATCTGCCCAACTGGAAAGCCACAACCCCACACTGCTTCTGGGCTTATAAAGCCCAGAGGTTCTTTAAAATGAACATTCGTTTCATGGGAGATGCAGAAAATCCACATGGTTTCAGTTCTATGGGAGTAACAAACATGTAGAGTCCTGTCTGGAATCTTGACATGACTTAAATGAAGTATGACTGACTTGCCAAGCAAGCAGTTGTACTGGGGGCAAGGTTACTGTGACTCCTTTCCCTTAATGGATGAAGTCCTGAAACTGTTGTTTGTTCACTATCATAACAGGTGAAGTAGTATCTGAGAATTTTTTAATGTCTTATGAAAAATGTGACTAACTTGTTATTTTGGCATGTTTTCCTAAGGTGATAGGCTGGATTCTGATAGCAATTGTTATCATCATCCTTCTGGCTTTTACATCTCTCATGAGATGCACATCTCCAGTTAGTTATCTGCAGCTGAAATTCTGGAAAATCTATATGAAACAGGAGGAGAATATCCTTAAAACTCAAGCCACGGCGCATGCAACTGTATTGGCAAAAGAGAATGTTAAAAGTTTCTTTGATGGCTCACATCCAAAGGAATACAACACCCCAAGCATTAAAGACTGGCAGCAGATTTCATCACTATATACTTTCAATCCCAAGGACCAGTACTACAGCATGTTGCACAAATATGTTAACAGAAAAGAAGAGAGTCACAGTATCACATCTGCGGAAGGAGATGTGATGGTTCCTGTTCTTGACTTTGTAGATTCATTTGATATAAGCACCACTGCTGAGTTATGACCTTAAAATGAAAAGAAAAAAAAGTCCTTGGAAGTATTACTTCATGTTTAAAAAATAAACATTAGTATTGATTATGACTGCTTTTTTTTTCCTTCCACATTGTGAAAACATAGTATTTTAAATATGAAATAGAAATTGAGAAATGAACCTCTTCGTTATATTAATGTTTTTAAAAAGCGAGGTTAAATGATTCATTCAAAGTGGCAGACTGTAACTAGATCAGAAGTCTTATATTCTTAGTCTAGTGTCCTTTCCACTGAATAACAATGCTACTTTCAAATAAAAGACATTAAGAGCAAAAACAGTGAAAGCAATTGAACTTCGGACCTTCCTGTTAGGTTATCTGTTGTTAATTTCAAGTTCACTTTCTTGTAGACGGCCCCTTGCTTGAAACTTAAAAACACTGGCATTTTATGGCTCTATTATGGTTGCTAAACAAAAATACAAAAATATAAAAATTCATCACGAGAAGGAAAGTAAAAAAATTTAAATCCAAAATTTGGAACAGTGTTTTAGGAAAATTTCAGATAATAACTTCTTTTTAGTTTGTAGGACTGGAGGAAATATTTTAAAGCTATTTGTTATGGTAAATTTCAAATATGCACTAAAAGTAGGGAGTATAGTATTATGAACGCCCACATAGTCATCATGCAGCTTCAACAGCATGGGGGTGTCAGATACAACCTGTACCATACAAAAAACAGGGAAATACAAATTGTGACCTGATTTAGCTTAGACAAGGGAGGAGTAGGGGAAATCTCCGAGAAACTGAAACCTGTAGAGTAGGAAGAAGAACATTTCAGTCGGAAAGAACAATATATATGAAGATTCAGAGCTGAGAAAGATCTTAGCACAGTTGGATGCCTTAAAGGCAACTGGAAAAAAGAGCAATGCACAGATCATGTAGGGCGTTCAAGTCATATGAAGGACTTTGGTTTTCACTCTATGAGCATTTTAAGGAAGATTGATTTACTTTTCTTGTGGAAAAAAGGATGTAGGGGGAAGGACGGAGCCAGGGTAGAAGTAGGGAGATTAATCAGGAGGCCACTGCCGTGGAAAGTAGGTGGGGGTGTACTTGAACTGGTGATGAATTTGGAAAAAGTGGATAGATTCGAGATCGACTTTATATGTAGAAGTAATAGGATTTGTTGATGGAAAGAATGTAAGAAGGTAGTGAGAGCAATGATACCCACAGATACAATTCTGTTGCTTGGTAATGCCAGGACTTTTCAGGGGACACTTGTTTTCTATTAGATTGTGCATCCCTCAAATTTATGGCTGTTTCTGAGTTTTAAAAAATGAGATTCAAAAACATTAAAGTGTAACACAATTGAACACTGATCATAGTTAGCCTTCTTCCGCTCTGGGAAACCCTTGAGCTGGCTTCTATTTTATTTTGCTGCATAAGGCCATTAAAAAGAACTAGTCAACAGGGCTGAATAACCTGTTGTTGAGAGTCACATATAATAAAAATTTGGCAGCAGAAACTGCACAATCAGTCTTTTTCTATTCCCTAATAATTTTGAAAATCATATGCTTACTTCCAGTTTTGAGTCCTTTATTTCATTTTCCAATTTATTTTTGTATATTCTTTTGTACATTCTTCCCTTTCAATAATTTTTTCAAGTCTACATCTTCAATAGTATCATATCATCTCTAAGGTGATTTATGCTCCCTTTTACTTTCTCTTGCATAGTCTTTAATAATTATTATAAAAGTATACATGCTTAAGGTAAAAAAAAAAAAAAAACTATAATGACAGAGAACTGTGTGAAGTAAAAATTACAATTACTACCTCTTTCCTTTGCAATATATTCCTCCCAAACCCAAACCCATTACCATTGAGTCAATTCTGACTCAGCGACCTGATAGGACAGAGTAGAACAGCCCCAGAGGGTTTCCAAGGAGCATCTGGTGGATTTGAACTGCTGACCTTTTGGTTGGGCAACCAAACTCTTAAGCACTGCTCCTCCAGGGTCCTAGTATTCTTCCCAGAGGTAGCATATACTTTTGTCTACACAAATATGTGCAATTTTTCACATAAAATATTATTCTTCCATGTCAGTATATAATAATTTACCACATTAAAAATTAGTGCATAATATTCTACTGGTTAGTAGGATATGATCTTTTTTGTTTAAAACACACACACACATTTATAAGGTATGCAAGGATAAACACCAAATTGTTCAGTGTGGTCATTTCTGGAGACTAAGGTTGGGGCAGGAGATTTTTTATTTTTTTAACCTCATGCACTTCTGATCTTTGAAATATTTTGTAATGAATAATAAATATTACCTGAGTAATGAAAAAGATTAAAAAGAATCCTTACACCGGTGTAGGATTTTACAGTCAACAAAGCAGATGTGCAACATCACCTCATCTTATTTTCATAACAGCCTGTGGGATACTGTGAAACACTCACATTCACAAACGAGGAATCAAAGGACACAAAGTCTATATTACTAGTTCAAGGTCACATGGTCAATGAAGGCAGAACTGAAGACGGAAGTTGG